AAACTTCACAAAGGACACAAACACAGTAGTTCATAGGCTCAATCTGACCTGGACCTGCATTGATGAAGAGGGTGAAAAGGTCATTTCAGTGAAAACGGCGGTCAATAGTTTTTCTCTGGGGAGCTGAGCTGGACTTTTGGGTTTGATTGACTTTTTTTCCCCAGGAGGAGATTAAAAAAATAGAGTAATCCATCAACATTGAGGTTAATGTAAAACCAGAGGGAAGAGGATTGGACTGCTGGTTTGAATCTCTCCCATTGTGTTGAGCAGGTACTGTATGAAGGTAATGAAGAACATGATGTTGTGACCCTATATGGTGGGAGATGGAGGCATTGATTATCGTGCTGACCCGAAAACAATTCCAGAGGGGAAAAAAAAATCCATAAACTGATTTTAAGTTTGTGGCTTTAGTTCCCTCTTGTGGCCATTTCAAGCAATTACAACCATAATGACAAGCGATTATGGATTATAAACGTACTTTTTTTGTATCAAATGTAAAGCGGTGGCGCGGCCGACGTGTGATCCGACGCTTGACTTTCAATCAAACTTCCTCGCTCATTGATATACGTGTTTATTACACATTAACAAAGTTAATGTCTCATTAGCTGCTACGGAATGTCGGCTTTTTCTAACAGACGGCCTACCACTATTTATTAATCACTGTGTGTGTATGTCATGTGTACCACAGTCCCTCCTGTTATTTCTCCAATAACGGAGTAAATCTAAGGACACATTAATGTGCTCAGTGTGCTGCAACCTCCGGCTAATGTTAGCATTTACATGTTAGGACAGCGCCGGCAGCGCTGCCAGTGAGGAAACACGGTGTCGCGGCGAAACGACGCGTCTTTTTCCAGACGCACAACAAAATAGGTTGGATTTATAACATTAACTGATTCACATCACGACCAGTTTCTGTGTAAACAACACTTACCAGTGATAGAAATTGTCCAGATCCAGATCAATGACGGTGAGTGTCACTGTGAAAGCGGCTCGACTCTATTCTGCTATGCGGGAAATTAGTTCCGATTGTTTTTTTATGTTGTATCATTTTAGATTATTTAAATATCATGCAGACGAATAATAATTTTACCATATTATTACAGTATTAATTTCCTTACTTCACTGGCCGGGGTGTATGGAGCCCCGAAATGTACATGGAGGAATTTTTCCTCACGTTTCTGGTGTTCCCCATAACGTCTTGTATTTATTTGTTTTCCCTTTAGCGGCACACTTAAAATGTGTATAAATAGAATGTAAATGAAAAAGAGTACTTGTTTTTGCTTTCGAACTTTAACTTAACTTACTGTATGTAAACGTACAGTAGACGTTACACATTAAGCCTTAATAGCGTTTTACTCTTCCTATAAGCTAAGCTAATGATGTAGCACGGCCCTAAAGTGAATGGGATCGTTTCATTTCATTACAATGTGTACGATTTTTCTTGTCATGATAGAACAAAAACAACCAGGTGGACAATATTATTAAGAAAATTTTTAAAGTTTGTTTATTGTACTATAAGACAATACAGTGGAGTAGAAAAAATACATCATTATCACCAAAGTAAATGGTGTCATTTAGAATAACTATGAAATGTGTAATTATTGAATAACAAGTCTCTCAGCTCTCTGATGGAGGTGGAGCTGCCTTGCGCACAGCCTTGGCCAGGGCTTGTTGTATGACTGGGTACAGTTTATAGCAACCCTCGATGCAGGTACGAATCCCAGCTGCCAGAGTCTCTTCTGTCAAGTCTCCATCTGACTGAAGTCCAGAAATCTGGTTCAGGCTGGGGAGGAATGCAACACTCAGGTTTCCCTGGTTCTCAGTTACTGAGCTGCAGCCGTTTTGCTCTTCGTAGGACGGGTCGACTACATAAGAGTCCCCATCTTGGCGAATGGAGCAGCCCAGCACCAGGTCGTACATTTCTATTCCTGCATCTGCTAGAGCAAGAGAAGCACATGTGATGGCGTGGGCCACAC